CCAACGGGCAGAGGAGTGGAGAGTCAAGACCGACGAATACATGATAACCATCACGGCAAGCTTGCTTAAATATGACACCTCTCGGAGCAGCGGCTCTCAAGCTGTGGGCCACGAGCCCTTTGGGGGGTCGAACGACCCTTTCACAGGGCTCGTCCGATTCATAACAATAGCAAAATGACAGTGATGAAGTAGCAATGAAAATAATTTTATGGTTGGGGGTCACCACAACATGAAGAACTGGATGAAAGGGTCAGGGCATTAGGAAGATTGAGAACCACTGTCTTAGATGATCTCAATACTAACCACAACATTGTTGTTTTTTACAATTTTAATCGTTTTATTAGGGGCTCATACAACTCTTATCACAATCCATACATACATCAATTGTGTACAGCATATTTGTACATTCATTGCCCTCATCATTCTCAAAACATTTGCTCTCCACTTAAGCCCCTGGCATCAGGCCCTCATTTTTCTCCTCCTTCCCCACTCCCTCCTCCCCCCTGATAATTTATAAATTATTATTTTGTCATATCTTGCCCTGTCCAATGTCTCCCTTCACCCACCTTTCTGTTGTCCATCCCCCAGGGAGGAGGTCACATATAGTTCCTTGTAATCGGTTCCCCCTTTCCAACCCACCCTCCCTCTACGCTCCCAGTATCACCACTCACACCACTGGTCCTGAAGGGATCATCCACTCTGGATTCCCTGTGTTTCCAGTTGCTATCTGTATCAGTGTACATCCTCTGGTCTAGCCAGATTTGCAAGGTAGAATTTGGATCATGATAGTGGGGGGCGGGGGAAGCATTTAGGCACTAGAAGAAAGTTGTATTTTTCATCGTTGCTACATTGCACCCTGACTGGCTCTTCTCCTCCCCGAGACCCTTCTGTAAGGGGATGTCCAGTGGCCTACAAATTGGCTTTGGTTTCCACCCCACACTCCCCCGCTCATTCACTATGGTAAGATTTTTTGTTCTGATGATGCCTGATCCCTGATCCCTTCGACACCTCATGATCGCACAGGCTGGTGTGCTTCTTCCATGTGGGCTTTGATGCTTCTGAGCTCACAACATCATTTTTGTAACATTGTTTTATATTGAATTACAGCATCAGTAAGGACAGCACTTAGTAATGACTGAGTGGCAGCCGTTTTTGTTGTTGTTCTTAATTATTTTTATTTTCCTCAAAAAAGCTATGGGCAGAGACTCGCAAATATGAATGATCTCAATTTGGGGGCGGCTCACCTCCAGCAGCACATGAACGACAAGAGAAGCCTAGGCAGCAACAGAAAGAAAGCTCACAGAGACAGAGCCACGTGGTTCAAAGCGGCCTTGGAGCCGGGCACTCACGCCACCGCTGACTGGAACACACGACAAGGTTCAATAAGTCAGTTAGCAGAGAGGTTTGGGCCTTGTAGGCCTATTGATTGATTCATGTAAACTGGGTTTCAAAAAAAAAAATGCTTCTGTTGTTATAATGAACTACAGGGATACACTAAGAAAAGCAAATTTATCCTGAAACACTGGGGGGGCGGGGGAAACATAATAAGAGAGCTGTTTGGGCATGAGTCCCTCTGACAGGGTCACCTGGAGCTGTGTACACCTCTTGTCCTGTCCTACTGCTGCCGGGGCTTGAAATCATGTCAACATTGGGTACAGATCACATCCCTCTCTTCTGAGCCCAGGTGAGAATACAGTCCCCAACAAGACACCCTGCACAGCCACCCACATTCATCAGAAATGACACAGAGAAAAAGGCCCGTCGGTCATCTCCGATCTAACTCTATGTCCCACTCTCCCTGCCCCGGTGCTCGGATGGGGAAATGGAGGCCCATGGAGACTGAGTGCCCAGCGCATGGCCAAGCTGGAAACATGGGCTTCACAAACACAACACTTTTCCTTAAGCTCCTGATCATGGATAAACATCTAGCTATAAATCGAGAGTTATACACCTCTAAAATTGTCACGTTTCAAAGACTGGTCCCTGTAGAAGTAGCCGGTCATCCCAGCTTGGCTGGGCTCAAAGTGTCCGATGTGAACGACTGAAGAAACTGCAAACCCAATCATTAGTAATATACGGATTGGGACACACACCCCATTACTGTTCTCCCCCTCCCCTCCCCGCCCCACTGGTTTTAGGCTTCTCTACTGTCTTCCAGGTAGCCCTGGAAAACGAACGAGCTGAATTTCTATACTTTTCCATTTTCATTGGCTCCAAAGAAAGGCTGTCACTATAAATCGCTACTGAGTTGATTCTAGCACATGGTAACCCACCCGTGTCCAAGCAGAACTGTGCTCCACGGGGTGTGCGCGGCAGTGACCTTTCAGAAGCACGTGGACAGACCTTTCTTCCAAGACATTTATTTTCAAATCATTTTATTAGGGGCTCATACAGCTCTTATCACAATCCATCCATCCATCCATTGTGTCCAGCACATTTATACATATGTTGCCATCACCATTTTCCATACATTTTCTTTCTACTTGAGCCCGTGGTATCAGCTCTTTTCACCCTCCTGCCTTTCTCCCGAACCCTTGGTAATTTGTCATTTTTTTCCAGGTCTTACACTGACCGATGTCTCCCTTCACCCACTTTTCTGTTGTCCAACCCGCTGGAAGGGGTTTTTATGTAGATCATTGTGATCAGTTCCCACATTCTCCCCCCACCTTCCCCTTCCCTTCCTGGTATCGCGACTCTCAATATTGATCCGGAGGTGTTTATCTGTCCTGGATTCCTTGTGTTTCCAGCTCTTATCTGTACCAGTGTACATGCTCTGGTCTAGCTGGATTTGTAAGGTCGAACTGGGGTCATGATAGTGTGGGGCAAGAAGCATTAAAGAACTAGAGGAAAGTTGTATGTTTCAAAAGTGTTAAACTGCACCCTGACTGTCTCAACTCTTCCTTGTGACTCTTCTGTAAGGGATGTTCCATTGTCTACACATGGGCTCTAGTCTCCACTCTGAACTCCCCTCGTTTACATTGATAGGATTTTTTTGTTCCTGGTCTTTGATGCTTAATATCTGATCCCACTGACCCCTCATGATCACCCAGGCTGGTGTGTTTCTTCCACGTGGGCTTTGTTGCTTCTCAGCCAGATGGCCACTTGTTTATCTTTCAAGCCTTTAAGACCCCAGATGCTATATCTTTTGATAGCCGGGCACCATCAGCTTTCTTCACCACATTTGCTATGCACCCATCTTGTCTTTAGCGATCGTGTCGGGAAGGTGAGCATCATGGAATGCCAGGTTACTAGAACCAAGAGTTCTTGTGTTAAGGGAAGACTTGAGCAGAGGCCCAATGTCCATCTGTTGCCTTTCTGCTACTCTGATATTAACATATCAATATATGTACTTAGATCTATATCCCTAACATTATGTATTAATATATTACATATGTACATGCCTGTACTTAGACCTCTATAAATGCCTTTCACCTCCTACTTCTTTCCTCTAGTCCAAGACATTTTTGGAGGAGGCCAAACCGCCAACCTTTCAGTAGCCAAGTGCTTAACTGTTGGTGCCACCCAAGAATGTGAGCCACCATGAAATGCAACATACCTGAGATAGTTAGTTTAGTGTGCCAGCCTGGCCGACAGACACATGTGGGATTAATTGAAGGGTGGAGAGATGAGTGGCTCGATGAGCCATGCCTTTCTTGTCTCTCGCGCTTTGAACATCGGACCAGTGTGCGGCTGCCTTGCTTGTTCTGTGCCTCAATTTGCAAGCAACACTACCTGTGGGACACCTAACCTGTGGACTGTGTCACTGTAATTTGAGGTTTCTTCAAGACTTGCTTCACCACACCATTGGAATTTACATCTTTTGAGTTGGGGACTGGCTGTTGGTGACCTTCCTTGTTGTTTGCTGCCTGTGCCGGGATAGCCAGATTCTCTCTACTGGCGGCCCTCAGACTCAAAGGACTGCCAGTGTCTCACAACTCTCCAATGCATTTGAATTATCCTGAGCCATTTGTACTGTTTTATAATTTAACTGTTTATTTCTTGTGCTATCTAGTCATCTATCTATATAACTGCTTTACAATTGAACTGTTTATTTCTTGTGTTATCTATCTATTTATCTATATAAATACATATATATAAATATAATTATTAGCAATCTGGTTTTGTCTCTCTAGAGAACCCTGTCTAACACAATACTGGTAGATAGTATTTATACTATAACAAATACAAGTCAAAATAACAAACCACTTATTTTAAGAGGTAAAATGTCATGAGTTGAAGAGAATGAGGTAGTTGGTGAAAACGGTTCAAAGTGGCAGCACAAAATTCAAAGTGTCAAAAAAGATCAGGTGTCCTGCTCTGACAGAGACTAGTAGACCCTGCGGGACCGTAGCCCTTAAGCACCCGTTGCACCTTGGGTCACCTCCCAGCCAAACAGCAGGCCGATAAAGTGAACAAAAATATGCCTGGAGAAGATACGCCTTTGAATAGTAACACTGGCCAACACACATTTTGGTGCCACACCAGACAATTGTTTCTGGGTATGTTTGACCTGCTCATTGCAAACAGTGGCACCAGGATTCCCCCACCAGCTCTCACTTTGGAGATACAGGACATCTGCCGTCCATCACACTTCACTGCCCGCCCAGGAAAACAATCAGATATCTTAGAGCAGTGTTTAAATACATATCTGTCAGCAAGAAGGAAACATTAAATATGAAAAGAAAAAGTGTACCACGTGACGATCTCTTCATTTCGTCCCCAAAGCACAGGCTGCTGACACGAGCTTTGCAGTCATTCAACATACCAGGAACTAGAAACTAGCGCCTATGTGATCTACCCAGTGCGATTTTCTGAATCAGCTCCCCAGGTAACCCCAGGAACCGGACCCCAAAACCAAGACCCCAAGGGAAAAACTGTTTTTGTTGTTGTTGCCGGGGGGGGGGGGGGTGTTAAGCATAGGCGAGTGACTGCTACGCCGCATCCGCTTGCCGAGTTCCCCGTGCACGGTCACAGCACGCGTCTGGGCTTTGGTCCGGGTGTCAGACGCACAGCACACCTCCGCTCTCGCCCGTCGGACTGGCGGGCTCACAGGTGTACTTCCCGGAGGCCACCAGGTGGCGCTGGATCCGCTCGCGCGCGTCCCCCTCTCCCTGCGCGTCCAAGGCGGCCAGCAAGCTGTTGACTGAGGCCTCCTTCCCGGCTTTGCGGAGCCATTTCTGCAGCAAGTTGTAAGGTTGCTCCTCCGGGCACGGGGCACTGCTTCTGGCCACGTGGATCTCATTGCTCGTGAGGCCCATCTGCCGCATGACTGCGTCCCAGGAATGCACAGGTACTTCACTTTTAAAGTAATCAAAGAAGGACTCTAGCGCTGGTGGGAATCAAGTCAGAGAGAGAGAGAGAGAGAGAGACAGCCAGGTTAGAGGGCAGGCAATTTGGAAAGGGCAGAGAAGCCTCCTTCAAGCCTAAGCCCCCATGGAAGAGAGGGACCACTCTTGTGGTCCCATGCCTTCACCTTCTTCCCCAACCACAAAGGATGAATATGGGACCATGGTCCCCTCTAAGGCATTGTGGTTGCAGCTGAGGCCCCCAGAGAAGCCTGCCCTAGGGGAGAGCTGACACCCCACCTGCGAAAGCAGAGTGGGCCAGTGATGGAGAAAGAAAGCTACAGGGGACGCTGCCCTTATCATGGGCCGCAGGTCCTGGGGCCCAAAAAGGAGGCTACAACTAGGGCGTGGAGGGAGGACATCCCTGGCTTGATCCCAACTGGGTATCACTCACTCTATGGCAGAGCTACGAGGGGCAAATCAACTCTGAGCAACAAAGCCGCTGTGGCCGAGTGCTTCCTTGCTGAGGACTCCCAGGCTGTCAATCATTCCGGGAGCACATTTCCCCCAAAGAGAGGGTTGGATGAGAAGTGTGAAAGGCACTGGTAGTACCAGTAAGTAGAAATAGATTTAAATACCAAACCAAAAAACCAAGTTGAACCCACTGCCAGCGAGTTCATTCCAACTCTCAGTGACCCTGCACTGGGTTTCTGAAGCTGTAAGTCTTCACAGGAGCACACAGGCTTCTCTTTCTCCTGTGAAGCCGCTGATGGGTTTGAACTGCTAACCTTGGGATTAGCAATCTACTGCTGACTGGACAGTGAGATACATGGGGAGCGATAAGACAAATGTCACATTTCCTCCTCCCTACATTAGGAAAAGAGGGGTGGCATCCATTTTTAATTGTACTTTTAATGTAACTGAATATATATAAAATATCATTATTTTCATATTCACATTCAAAACCATTCATGAGATAGACCTCATTTGATTTCTAGACGGCACAGCCATGGACACACTTACTTTCCATGGGGTTTGCACCATTCACTGGAACCAGCAGCAGCCTTCTCAGCTGAGGCCCTTCAGCCTGTGGGTGTTCCTACAAAACACAGTGGCAAACTCACTTGAACCCAAGCCAGGAGTCCTGGGCACCCAGCTGGCTGACTGGCTGGCAGCCGAGATCACCCTCCCAACCTGCATCCTCCGTGGGCTCTGGCGGCTGGTCCTCTCACGGAAGTAGACGGGACATGCACTGAGGCCCACACTCCCTGCATGTTCCATTCACGTTCTGACCCTGTTCACAGCTGCGTCACCAATGCCCACTCAAGACAGAGCGCATCCCACCACCCCAGAGAGGTCCCTTCTGCCCAGTCTAGTCAATCTCTGATCAGGTTATTCATGTGTCATTGAAAATTTCCGATTATGGATCTGCATTGTCAACACTTGTCATTGGTCTTTTTTCCCTCTTCGTTTGTTATGTCTTACATATTACGAATGTTTTGCTGATGCAAGAAAGGAAAGGAAACAGAACCGTCGAGGGGAGACGAGGTAATTGTCCACGTCGACATCGAACATTTAACAAGGAATAACCTAGCACAGGCCTTTCTGCATGTGCAGCCTCTTCCTGTGTCTAAGGCTCTTGTGAGACTCCAGGAGAAGAACAGATCAGCGAGCACTCTGGGCACTCTGACGTAGCATTCATAACAGAGCAGAACGAAGTGTGCCGACACAAGAGAATGCAAACATCAGATAACTTCCGTGGCGGCTGCAAGGTCTTCTGGTAAAATTAACCCCGATTCTGATGACCAGAAAACACCCCAGCGTAGAAGCATGTCGCTGCCACCACCCTGTGTGGTCGAGCGCTGAGCGGCCTGCCCGACGAAGTGGGGCAAAGCGCATGCAAGGCCGAGCGCACACCTTGTCTCCGCACAACGCCGACCTTCGCTCTGAGAGTTCTGGCTTATGAACAAGAAATGAACTCGAAATAAAGGGTATGCGTCTTGGAAGGGAGCAGACAGAATTAATTAAGTTGCAAGAGATATGGTATTTTCACAAGACAACTCATGTGCATGTTATGGTGTTTTTGCCAACTCTGCAAGCCCTTTCACGGGTTCTAGTTTGGGACGCACACTCCAGGTGCTAGACTCGGTGCATGTGCCCACTCTGTCTGTGGGGTCGCATTCTGCGAAGAGAAGAAGACGGTACTGGCATCGATGACCCTTATCTTCCTTTGTAAGAAAAACGATGAATATGGCAAAGATCTCAATGGCGGGATTATGTATTCACAACCGTCTCTCTCTCTCTCTCTCTCTCTCTCTCTCACTGTAATCCAGTTGAGGCTGACTCTCAGTGACTCTACAGAGAGGGCAGAACTGGCCCTGTGGGTTTCTGAGCATGTCACTCTCTACAGGAGTAGAAAGCCCCTCTTTCTCTGGAGGGATGGCGGGCAGTTTCCAATGGCCGAACTTGCGAATAGCAGCCTGACTAGCGGCCTGACGCCTATAGAAAGCATGAAAACCGATTTCAGCAAAGGATCCTAAGATAGCACCCTAAAACCCACTGCCATCAAGTTGGTTCTGACCCATAGAGACCCCAGGTGGGGTTTGTGAGGCAGTAAATCATTAAGGGTGAAGGTAGCCTCATCTTCCTCCCTCGGAGCCATTAGTGGGTGTGAACCAACAACCTTGTGGTCAGCAGAGTGCTTACCCCACAGCACCACCAGGGCAGAGGGGACTAGGGACAAGTGAGGAGGCATTCATCATGACTCAGGATCTGGGTAGACTGTTGAATTCCCCAACCACGGATGCGTGTTCCGCTCATTTGTTAAAAATATAAATACCCTGTTCATCAGCATAGAGGGTCACAGATGTTTTTTTCATCTATCATATCTTCTCCAGATTACAAATGTTGTCTTAATGCAAGGAAAGCCAGGAAGCAGAGCAGTCTAGACGTGCCTGTGGACATGACCCTCTGATGTAGAAGGGACCGGAGCCGAAGGCAATGGGGTCCTTCACCGAGAGAGAGGATGCTGACGGTCAAATTCTTACACCGATGGCAGCACAGAGAGGAGCCGCATGAACCCTACAGGACCCGAGGCGCTGATCTTCCCTTTGCTTGGGAAGGACATTCCAAACTCGGGGCGATGAAGGAATACACACACGGAGAGATTAAAGATGAACGGGTCAAACTCCGGTGCATTAAAATAGCAGATAAAACCGAACGGCAAACAAGGTATGTGAACTCGTGTATCTGTGTGAGAAAGGACATGGACAGGAGAGTAGTCTCCAAGATAAACATCGACAGCCAAGCCAGAAACCAGAGCCAGGCAACGGCACAAGAGGATCCAGTCAGGAACTAGGAAAAACAGAGAGGAAAACAGAAAGGTCCGTAAAAGCCAAGTAAATACTCCCTCCGGACCCTAAAAGGAAGATAATGCACCCGAAAGAAGATGAAAACTGATGAGCAGGGATGAGCCCACCTGTGGCTGGTGTGTGTGTGTGCGTGTGCATGTGTGTGTTTATGTGTGTGCATGCATATGTGTGTGTGCGTGTGCATGTGCGCGCGTGCGTGTGTGTGCATGTGTGTGTGTGCAGCTAAAAGCGTTCCCCACTGTAAGTACCCAGTGATTCTTTTTGCAAGTCACCTATGAACGTCATCAGAAATCTGGACAAAGATTCATCTTCACCTATGTTCAATGTTTTGAGACAAACACACCATTCCTCGCGGTAAAGGATGGCATACTGTGCACATGCTTCAACCATATGGTGGACTATCATGCCACTGTTATTTAGTCACTCAACAAAAAACCAGAGTGCCCACTGCCCTAGCTCTGGGGAAACAAGACGCGAATGTCTAAAGTTACATCAGCATGAGCAGGCTCACCCCACAACATGCAGCCCACTCCCCTCAGGTCCCTGGTCCACTCAATCTCACCACAGCCCTGTGGCCAGGGAAAGTTGCCTGGACTTGCCCTACCCTCTTCCCACCCACACGAGCGGGCATGCAGAAGGGTCAGGGCCACAGTGTCACCCACTCACCAGGAGAGGCTCTCCTTCCACGGGGATCTGTTCAAGGGGACTTGCCACCCCAGCCTGCTGCTGGCCTTCCATTCCCAGCTCAGGGTCCAGCATGGGCGACAGATTGCTGTTCAGGGCTTCGTTGTGAACACTGTCACCAGCCCCGGGCCCTCTGCTGGGGCACAGCCACCGGAGCCGGGCCTAAGGGAGAGAGACTCACTCTACAGGGACCTGCAGGTGGGTCAGTCCTGCCTTCCCCAAGCCTCCCACGGACATCACCCTGGGTGGGTACACAGCTCAGCAGATTCAGGCTCTGCTGGGACCCTGGGATGGTGCCCACAGCAGGTTCACCCCGTCTGCGGACACTGTGCTGTGGGGGAGACGGGACATCCCAAGCAGCAGCAAGACAGGACCCTGCACCACCATGAGGCACATGGGCCACTTGCCAAGTTACAGTCAGCCCAGAGCCAGCAGGCAACAGTGGGAGCTGGAGGATGACCACAGGCCATGCCAGGGAGCCGGTCCACGTGGGACAGTGTGTGAGCCGGAAGCAGCTCCTGAGAGGTGGTCCCTCAGCCCAGGGACACCATGCCAACTCACTCTGTTCACGACCCTGGAGACCACGCCGAGACCTGGAAGAGAAGGACTGTGCCCTTTAGCAAGTGGCGAGGGTGGGCCCCGTGGGCATCCCCAGGCTTCCCGCGGGGTAGGGCCAGCTGGCAGGGCATTGACTAGGGGGTCTGACTCTGAACCAAGCCCTGGGACTGGCTGACTCAGGGGCCGAGGAGGACAGAAGACAGGTTGTTTACAACCTAATGGGCCCTTTGGGGAGTGATGGGGAGAAGGTGGGAAACAACGCAGTCCCTCCACCAAGGGCTCTTGTGCCCTGGCAGGGCGCTGGAAGGTACCGAACAAGCCCCGCCCTCTGAATGTGTTCCGGCCGATGAGGGAAGGGGAGGACTGGGAAGGGGCTGGCTAGCTCAGGATCCAAAGAGATGAGGGGATGAGCAGAGAGACCCAGCGCCTACCCCGCCTCTTTCCCACCCAACCTCACCTTTGGAGAGCCCGTTCCAACAGAAACACGCCACAGACATAAGAAGGACTGGAAGCACCACGGGTAGTACGGTCCCCGTGTGAGAAGAGCGTTCAGGGCCTGCAGAAGGAGAAACAGAGGTGAGGGGCCTCAGGTTAAGGGACACTGGCTCTTCAAACACCTGTTTCCCCAGTGGCCTTGGTACCTGTTTCTGTAGTGCTTTTCTGAATACACTTCCGGTCACTCTTGGGGGTACAGGGACTGTCCTCAACCATCCCATCAGGGCACCTGGGAACAGATGCAGAGAGAAATGAGGGGGGCTGCGAGCGAGGGCTGGGAAGATGTGAAGAGTACCACTCCCTCCCCAGTGTCCCCTAGAGGAGGGACCTGGCTCTAGAATGTCTAGGGGTGACGTCTCCCCACTGTCCCTGTGGGGCCCAGCACAAGGAGCTGAGCATGAGCAGCTCAGCCCCTAGGCCTCCCTGACCAGTTCTCCGAGCTGGGCCTCGTCTGCGTGCCCACACGGTGCCTCCCTGGGCAGTGAGGGGCACCTGCGGTGGCCGAGGGACTTCCCTTCAGGTGCGGTGTCATTGAGACCCCTGGGCCAGTCCGCCTCCCCTCCCTCCCAGCACTCCTGGCTCCCCTGCCCTGGCTGATGTGCTCCTGCCTCCATGAGACAGGGAAGATAGGGCACTCCTGAGGGCCTGGCCTCGGCCCCGGCTGAGAAGGCTCGGGGCTCTCGGTGAAGCCCGGAGGACTGACCTGTGGCCTCACTCTGACGTTCTGGGGCCACAAGCCCTTTTGTCCTTATGAGTCCCTGTCTCCAAAAAAAACATAAAAATTATATTTCATGATGCATATGATAATACATTCTGAGCTTAACTCTATTCAATCATTTTCTTCTCATTTTAAACATAATTAAGGATTTTTAAAAAAATGAGTCCTGGTAATACATTAGGTCCTCAGGGCCTGACCCCTGTGCTGGTGCAGAGGTGCCTGGCTCAGAGACAAGGGGTGGGAGAGGACATCTGCAGGCACCCTGGGGGACATGAGATTAATGAGGAGGCTATGCAGGGAGAGGAGACTGCTGGGCTCAGGGAAGCCCTGTGGGGGCTTGCAGGAGCTGGATGGAAGGGAGAGAATGGGGGGTGCTGAAACCTCAGGTCTCCATTGGCTCCTGTGAGCTGGCAGGAGCCCACCCCCAGCGCCCACACCTGCAAGCCCTGCATCTCACCCAGGGCTGCACTTGTGACAGATCTCCGGGTTGTCTTCATCATGAAACATCCCAGGTTTGCACGCACACTCCGTGTCTCTGGTGGGGATGCACAGATGTCTCTCCACTTGCTCTGGAGACAGCGGACAAGGATTTACAGACAGTTTCCCTGACTGGTCCCTCAGCCACCCACACCCCATCCCCCTCAGGTCAACTAGTCCACCACATAGATCGCAGGCCCAGTTTCTGCAGCCACAGGCCAGGGGCACCCAGAGACAGCCACGGCTCACTGGTGGGCTGTCGTACAATAGAGCAGAGCCCGGCTCAGTGTTGAAGGCGGGAGGGTGGGGAGGGAACAGAGCAGTGGGTGGGTTAATAATTGAGAAACCTGGATAGAGAGCTACCTCTCCACGCACCCCCCCAAAAAACAAAACTGACCCTGCTGAGAAAGGCAAGAAGGCGTAAGGGAGCAATGGCTAAGAGGATGAGACCTGGTCAGGCGCAGACACAGAGGGAAGAAGGGCCAGCCCAGGGCTAGACCCGAGGCAGCAGCTTCAGCCCAAGTACTTTCCCCTGCTACACCTTTCCTCAGGCAGCAGTTACGTGATCCTTCCAACAAGGGAGAGGTGAGTCGTCCATCTCTTCCTGCTTAGGCGGTTTGCCTTACCAAATGGTATACTGGGCATAATTAGTTTCTCCTAGTTTTACTTTACGGACTTAAAGACGTCATTCCGTTTCAGGGTATCAGGCTGAGTGAGTCAGGCCTGGAACCCAGCTTTCCCGACCCTGTATCCTCCGTGACTCCCGCCTTCTCATCCCTCACCCCACCTCTGGGTCTGGAGCCCACCACAGGCTACCTACCTGGTTTACAAACAGTACATCTTAAGCAAGAATGGAGGGTGTTACTAGCATTTGTGAACGTTTTCCCATATTCGCAGGCAACACACTGGCCGATGAATTGTGATGCATGGGAGCCTGGGAAAGCAGAGAGAGCGGATGAATGCCTGTTCACAAGCTCCTCGGGCCTGGGCAGAGGTAAGAGGGGGCCTCCTCTTTGAGTAAGGTGACCAGACATCCCGCTTTTGGTGGGACAGTCCCAATTTTTGGCGTTTTAAAAAAGTCCCGATTTTTAGAAAGAATGCACGACAAGCTAGGGAACGGTCTATTTGGCCCATATAGACCAATTTTCAATCAAGAACAACCCCCACCCCCACCCCCCGGTCAGTGGTGTCCCACTTTAAATCTGGTCACCTTATTTGTGTCATCTGTGGAAGCTCAACAAGAAAATGATCTTCTACCTGGACTTGACCGGTTTGATCAATTCTGCACCTCCCACATGCCTGCAGGAGGGACTGAAATACCGTGGGCTGGCAGCACCATGGGCTGCCAGAACAAACATTTGTCTTGGAAGAAGTACAGCCAGAAGGCTCCTTAGAAGCGAGGATGGCCAGACTCTGCCTCATGAGACTTTGTATCACGGACATGTTCTCAGGAGGGACCAGTCCCTGGTAAAGGACTTCACGTTTAGTAAATAGAGGATCAGCAAAAAACAGGAAGCCCGTCGATGAGATGGATTGTCACAGCGGCTGCAACAGTGGGCACAAGCACAGCAAAGGTTGCAAGGAGCTGCCAGACAGGCTAGTTTCATTCTGTTGGACAGCATGGTGTCACTGGGTCAGAACCGACTCAACAGAGCATCGCAACAACAACACATGCCTGCAACCATCAGGTACGGGCCACGGACATATCATACAGTCACACGGGGATTCTATTTTGATAATAGCTACATTTTAAAAAGTAAAAAGAAACTGGCCAGAGTCATTTTAATCATGGATTTTACTTAACATATTAAAGTAATATAATTTTCACATGCAATCACTATAAACATAGCTATATTCTAGATTGTTTTTGTAAGGGAATGATGAAGCTTTCTGCTCTCACCCTGATCTATATATAGCTTCAGAAGCCCACGGGAGCAGTTTCATCTGGTCCTAGAGGGCCACTATGAATCAGAATCAACTCAATAACAGTGAATGTGGTTTGTTTTTGTTTGAATAGCTATATTATTTCTATAGTAAGCCTTTGAATCCATCGTGCATTTTTAACTTGGAGCACATCTCAATTTGGATTGGCTATATTTCAAGGGTTCGAGAGCCACCTGCACCTACTGTCTACTTCATGTTGAACTTCAAGGCCTTTGTCCCTGGAAACTCACAAAAGGACGTTCTCAATGAACTCAGAGCCAGACATAAACAAGAGCAGGAGCTCTGGAAGGATGTTGGGAGAGCTGTAGACTTCAGAGCAGGGGATCTGCGGAGGGAAGGAAAGATGGGTCCTTCCTGTAGGGAGTCAATGACGAATCAAAGAAACGTGGCCTCCTCCAGGTGTGAGCTGTGGAGCACAGGAATTGCCCTCAGGGACTCAGGTATGGGGTGCAACCTGTCATCACCTACAGCTTTGACCCCTTCGTGTGACTCCCTCTCACCTGCAAGTCCAAATGCTTTCCTGCTTCGGTTTCATTTTTATCAATATGGAGAGGTGCTCTAAACACAGCAGCTTCAGAAATCTTTTATTTATTAATATATGATGAATGTACTTTATGCCAAGGGATATCATTCTTGATGTCAGATGGACCTCGGCTGAAATCAGAGACTACCATAAAGATGTCTATTTGTGTTTTATTACCTATGCCATGGTATTTCATGTGTGGATCATAAACTATCATAACATGGAGAAAAACACAAACTCCAGAACCCTTCATTGTGTTCATGGGAAACCGGACATCGATCCAGAGGCAGCTGTTCGACCAGAACAAGCGGCATAAAATCAAGAAAAATGAGGGGCATAAATTAAAGAAAAGTATGCTTTCAGCATACCTCATCAATCTGTATGTTGTGAAAATAATCCAAGAATCTGGACTCTCTCTCTCTCCCTCTCTCTATCTATATATATAATAGTGTTCAGTGTTTTTTATCTATCTATCTATCTATCTATCTATCTATCTATCTATCTATCTATCTATCTATCTATTTATTGCAGCAAGCCCTTAAAGAGGCAGCATGCACCCCGAACCTCCAAAGTGATGTTACCCTGCTCTTTCCCTGGGCCCTGCACTCAGCAAGCTGCCAGAGCCTTGAACTGCATTTGTGCACACTATATGTTAATGCTATTTTAAGGTTTTAAAAAAAATCATTTTACTGGGGGCTTGTACAACTGGTATCACAATCCATCCATCCATCTATGGTGTCAAGCACATTTGTACGTTTGTTGCCATCATCATTTTCAAAACATTTTCTTTCTACTTGAGCCCTTGGTATCAGCTCCTCATTT